GTGGGGAAAATTAATTCTGAAATAACTCTAAATTATCCACAAATGTGGATGCTCTAAAGGGTATCAATACAAGTTGGTCTGCCCCATTAGTCCCGTTTGCAGGTTTTACATGTTGACCCATGGACCCGCAAGTTAAAAATTTGGAATAATGTTCAAACTGGCCACTGAACGTAACCTGAAAATGCAATTAGGCCATTGAACGACAAAAAAAAAGTGCAATTAAGCCACTAAACACTCCAAATGTATGCAATTTCACCTGATAGCAGGTTATCATCAATTTTAGCAGGTTACCTGCTTACGTGGCGGTTGAGTTGGCATTTTAAATAAATTTTAATAATAATTTTTGAATTTTTGAGTTAAATCTCAAATAATGGTGGCTGTTTCAGGTGTTACAAATCGTGCATTAAATGTCAAATTAAGTGCTATTGATTCTTCACCTCCTATATAAGAAGGAGTGTAGCAGCAGTGTTTCTACACAGATTGAGAACAACACACACAACACTGAAATACTGTTTTCACAGCTCCAAAATCTCTGCTCCTACTCCATTCTTGTAGCCGTGTTTTGCCCGTGCTCTTGTTCGCCGGGTTCGTTCATTTGGGTGCTCAAACGTCGAACCGTTGTACGTTTTATCCTGGGAAACCTAGGCCACAACGCTCCTAGCATTTTTGGGAGGTGGCAAATAAGGTTTTAAGGAAAGAAAGACACCTCGCCTAACTCGTACTAATCTTTCTTCCTCTCCTTCTTTCTTGTTTCTGGATTATGCTTTTAAGCAAAAATCCGTTCACCCTCTTTTGATATATTCGTTGGATTGGACTTATAATCTGATGATTATTAGTTCCAATAATTTCTGGTTAATATATATTGGTATATCTTTCTCGTAGATATACATACATACATACATATATATATATATATATATATATATATATATATATATATATATATATATATATATATATATATATATATCGGATAAAATATCAAATAATATTTTATATACTTGTGTGTGTATATATAAATATTATTTTACGATATTAAATCGATTTTGGTTCATTATCACCAACAACATGGTCCAACAATAATAATCCCACTTATTTCTTGCCGTACGTGTTGTTGGTCTGGACTGCTATCGTTTAATTTTAAAAAATCATATTCCACAAAACACCTAATCAAAAATTAATATTAAAAAATTATTTAATAAAATGTAAAATAACAAATTGCAAGCTTAAATATTGTTGTGAATTTAATAATAATAATAATATTATTATTATTATTATTATTATTATTATGAAGTAGAAGAGGAACAACAGTACGGATGAGAGAGTTGAGAGAATGTGATTAGCTTTTCATATATATAGCATTCATGTACAAGATCATAGAGGTAAGGGGGTATTTATAATGTTAAGATTTAGGAGCTAATGAATATAAAATTTGCATAAAGGAAACATGCAGCAAAGGTAGCTTAGTTGGCAGCTGAAAAGTTTGCACTACCTTTGTCATGCTTAAGGTCTTGAGCTCTATTCCATGTGGCTGCTTAGTGGAAAAGATTTCATTTTTTATACGAAAGGTCACATCTCTTTTTATTTCATAACATATATGAGTTTTTGAAAAATTTTAGTATTTTAAAAGTTATTATTTTAAATGCATTATTTAGAATGAAATAATAAATTTAAGTATAATATTTAGCATAATTCCAAATATATAATAATAATAATTTTACCACAATTATAATTTTTTATTTTTTATAAAAATAAATACGGTAAATTTATTTGGAAGTTGGAACTGCTGATTTTAGGGCTTTAGAGACAAAGTTCTCTTTCACTCTGTTTCTTACCCTCGCTGCCGCTCACTGCTCTCACCCTCACTCTTTTATCTCTCACCCACCCATCGCTCTCTTACGTTCCCCGGCTTTCCAACTCGCACCCATTCACCCCTCTAGCCCACTTAGCCTCTCCGTGGCTCCATCACTGTTTTAATCATATCCATTCATTTGATATTTTAAATAGAAAAATACTTTCATTTTATATTATATATATATATATATATATATATATATATATATATATATATATATATATATATAAAGGGTTTTTAGGAGGCTATAAACGGGTTCTTGTAAACAAGTTAACACTATAATAATATTAATGGGATAAACGGTTTCTTAATAGGTTTAACGGATTGACATGTTAAGACACAAAAGGGTCCTTAACGGCTCAACCCATGACACATTAAGATAAACATTAACCCGTTATTTTCGTATTCAATTTTGTGTTGTGTCGATAATTATCAGGTCTACGTAAATGTTGTCAGCTAGCATGTTACTAGATTTGGACTGCAACCAGAGCCGGATTTTGGGCTGTGCAAGTCGGGCTACCTCACAGGGCCCCCAAATTTTAGAGGGTCCAATATTTAATTTTTACCTAGCTAGTTTAGAAATAAAAATTAAAAGTTTTCAATTAAATGCAAAAGGCTCGACTCTATGGAGAAATGGTAGGAGCATGTGGTTATTGTATTTCAACTTGAAGGTTAGAGGTTTGAAACTTGAGTGTTGTTCCAGCTTTGGACATTTTCCTTTTTATTTAATCCTTTTGCATTGCGAGTTGCGCACACTATTATTATTATCTATTGTTATAATTGTAATTTATTCCATAATATGTTTTTTTTTTCCATTTTTTTTAATCCTTTTGCATTGCGGGTTTGCGCACATTATTATTATTATTATTATTATTATTATTATTATTGTTGTTGTTGTTGTTGTTGTTGTTTTGTTGTTGTTATAATTGTAATTTATTCCATAATTATTTTTTTTTGCGCACAGTAACATTTTACCACCTTATTATTATTATTATTATTATTATTATTATTATTATTATTATTATTATTATTAGAAAAAAATATGGTATTAATTTTAAAGATTGTGATTTTAGTAGGGCCTCATTTATTTATCATAACAGGACTACAAAAATTAAAAAACCGGCCTTGGTTGCAATGTTGGACTTGTTAATAATTTTTGAATTAGATCAAAATCCAATATTTCCTCATCGAATAGTGATAAATTTTGAATTTATAGTCTAGTCACAAAAACTTATATGAATTTTCACCCAACTGAACAAATATTAAGCGACACCTAAAATTACTCAATTTAACGTATTTAGTGAGTCGGAGAACATATATTGGTCCAAAGAGAACATATATTGGTCCAAAATCAATGAAGCGCGGAAGATGCATGTATGCGGTGGTCAATCGTTATGCGTTGGACCCGTGTCCAGCCTGCTTGCTGGACACGGGTAACAGTGCCGTCAGATACTGTTATCTTCTCTCTCTCTCTCTTTTTTTTTTTTTTTTTTTTTTTTAAATTTCAGACCGCTTCATTGTAAGAGTATATGTTCATAATTTTATTACTATATGTTAATAACTATACATTCATAACTCCATAACTGTACGTTCATAACTCTATAACTGTACATTCATAACTCTATAACTGTACATTCATAACTCCATAACTGTACATTCATAACTCCATAATTGTACATTTATAATTTTCGAAGCTCTCTATGTTCACAATTTTAGAGCTCTATGTTCATAATTGTAAGTTCATAATGTTAGAGCTCTTTGTTCATAATTCGATCAATAACTGTACATTCATAATTCCATACTGTAGATTCATAATCTCATAACTGTAGATTCATAACTCCATAACTGTAGATTCATAACTCTATAACTGTACATTCATAACTCCATAACTGTACATTCATAATCTTCAAAGCTCTATATTCACAATTTTAAAGCTCCATGATCATAATTTTATCACTATATATATTCATAATTGTAAGTTCATAATGTTAGAGCTCTGTGTTCATAATTTCATAATTGCATAACTGTATATTCATAACGGCATAACTGTACATTCATAATCCAAAAAAAAAAAATAACACCGTTAACGGCAAAACGCGCGCGATTTTTATTTTTTTTTAACTAAATGACGCGTTTTTTTTTTTTAAAACGACGTCGTTTTGGTCCCGTGTCCACAATTCAATGTGGACACGGGTCCAGGGCATAATTTGCCTGCGGTGGTGGCATATAACTTATATGATATAAGCTTTCCAGATCAAAAAGGGATTGCTTAATAGGGCTGAATCAATTCACGTGTACTGGCGCAGAAATGAGCTAGCTGTAAGCATTTTTACCCAAATGATTAGTGATTTTTAAATTGGTGTTTTTATATGTACTAGTATTTGTCTCGTGCGATGCACGGTATACAATTTAAGTATCTTTATTAAATTAGTTGTTATATTAAAACGTCACAGCATACTATTAGCATATATTATAAAGCATTGTGTTATTAGATACCACATGAGATTTTAAAATTTTACATTTAAATAATTAGATACACACACGCACGCACACAATTTTATAACAAATTTTAAAAATTAATAAATTAAACTATATACAATAAATAAATGATTCTTTATTTTTTCATGAGAAAATATAAATGATATAAAATTTCAAACGTAAAACTTCAAAATTAGAAGAGTATTAATACTCATGCCCAGTGTGATGCACAAACTTCAATAAATTGTTTATAGCATTTTAATTATTCAAAATGAAATTATTTATTTCACACCAATTAAGTTGAATATATTTGAAGAACAAAAAAGAATATGAAGAAGATCTTCATCAATAAAAAACACTTGTATCGAATAAAAAAAAATGAATACCATAACCGAAGCATCACACGGGAAGCTATCTCCACAGTAACTTACCCGTGCGATGCACGGTACATAAATTGTAAAGTATTAAATGTATGGTTCTTATATTATAAATAGTGTGCAATAATGAAATTTTAATTTAAAAAATATTATTGTTCATCCAATTATGTATGCAATTTTATTTGTCATCTAAAAAATATTTTTTTAACCAATTAAATACTTTTAATTTCATTTAAATAAATAATAGATTTAAAATTGTTGGAGTTTTCTAGAACTACTCCTATCTAGTCAACGTAATGTGTGTCTTTGTGCTACTTTCCTAATTCTGGGTTGTTCTATAGGATTCTCCATTTCACTCCATGCCTGTGAAGAAAAGCTCTAGATTTATATCTCTCACTTAGAATCTGAGCACTGTGTTTTGCAAGCTACACTTGCAGTGATGGAGGCGTGTTACGTTCTTCGTCCTCACAAACATCGTAGTTCTGAGGCTGAATTTCTACTACTTCAACCTCAATGCATCACGGATTTGTTTTATTTTTACACCAATCTTCGGATAGGATGGGTTTTTGTGAACAATATCTTTGAATTAATAGTGTTAATCACGTCGCATTTTTCATTTTCGATTGATTTTCCAGTACTGACGAACCCTATTCTCTATTTGGAACAGATCGGCGAAATCAATGCAGTGATTTCATACATCCAGAGGTCGGGAGATGAAAAAACTCGACCAGATAAAGTATTTTTTTTTTCCATTCTTTTTATATATCAGGATTTATTGATCTTTGAATGTTTTATATTTACATTTAGTACAGTAGTATATTTCCAGATCTACAAATTTTATTTTATTCTGTAGAGTAACAAAATGGCGATATATCAAGTTGAAATCCTAGATCTGGATCATGCATGAGGGTAGTTGGTTTTTTTGATGCAGCTATCTTATAGATCTAGTCCCTTTTTCTGACTGCTACCGGTTCTTAAGTTTCTAACGAATTCTAAAACTAACAGATCTTATTCGTTTTTATTTCTGCTACGAACTGTTTCGGACTTTCAATTAAAGTTTTCTAACTAAATTTGTTTTCAAAACTTAGCTTCCGCTTTTAATTTAACCAATGATATGTATAATGTGGTGTATAATACCTCAATTCACATCTTCATATTTTTAGTGTATTGGAATCTGAGTGAATTCTTATAAATACATCACAGTCCCAATATGTTTTTTCATCTTAAATATTAATGTCTGCAGTCATTTTTTGGGTGTTGAAAGACTAAAAGGTGAACTTAGGCATGATCTTCATTTCCCTATGCAGAATTTTCAGTACAGGATGTTATATCCTGTAATGTTAAATCCAGATCAGGATTTTGAAACTGTGTAAATCCCTAACGTGTTATTTACATGGAAATTCATACCTTGATTGATTCTTTAAGTGTCATGACTGAATGACATTCACATGGAGTAGGCAAACATAGAAAATATGCATAGTCTATTTTCATATTAAAATAGAGTAAAACTTCATTTACAAAGTATTCATTTAAAGAAGGGTGCTAATACAGAATATATTTGCCTATTTCATAACTTGATTCTTCATGCAACTCTTGAATTTGATTAAATAATCTCAACCTTCATATATTCTTAATTTTCTTACACTGTTTTACCTACAAAGCGATATATTCATAAGCTATTTCTTCAATTGAGTAAATCACCTCAACCTTCAAGTTGTTAGTCAGTATTTTGCTTTTTGCTGTGAAGATAGATTTGAATATATATAAAACATAAAATGTTTTTTTTTTCAAATTCATATGGAGTAGGCAAATATAGAAAATATGCATAGTCTATTTTCATATTAAAATAGAGTAAAACATCAATACAAAGTATACATGTAAAGAAGGGTACTAATACAGAATATTTTTGCCTATTTCATAACTTGATTCTTCATGCAACTCTTGAATTTAATTAAATCACCTCAACCTTCATATATTCTTAATTTTCTGACACTGTTTTACCTACAAAGCAATTTATTCATAAGCTATTTCTTCAATTGATTAAATCACCTCAACCTTCAAGTTGTTTGATAGTCTGTATTTTGCTTTTTGCTGTGAAGACAGATTTGAATATATATATAAAACATAAAATGTTTTTTTTTTTCAAGAATCATAGTCCCTCTATGTAAGTTTCTCATTCATGATAACCAAGGATAAATAAGAGATATATAAGTCCTAATTTAGGCTTTTAAGAAATCACCTTATTGTATTTGGACAACAATGAAGTTGCTGAGGTTCCCATGAGTCCTAATGGATGTATGTACCCTATATATTATGAAATAACAGAGATTTATTATGTAGCAAAACATATTATCAGAACAGATATTACTGCAAAATATGTATTAACATTACCTCTTTGTCCTGGAAGAGACATTTTTTTATCTTGCTTGAGTAACCTCCACTCAACTCAGGGACTTCATACGTACCGACCAGCCAGACTTTTATTGCTCTCCTTGCATGTAGATGGGTAACCTGAGAAGCAAGAATATATTGGGAGGCATTTGAATAAGCTTTCGAATGTGCAGCAGTTTGAATGAACTTTGTACTATTTATAGGAGTGTTTCGATTCTGGGACATTGAACAGGCTATGAGGCAATTTGAATGAACTTTGCACTGATATTTATTAGTTATTAATATGTATTGGACATTGAACAGGCCATGATTTAGAGTTATATTCTGAATGTATCTTCATTAATGTAGAGTTCGAAATTCGAAGGGACACAATGTTTAATACAAACTAATTCTCCAAAAATTAATAACAATAAAGGCGTAGAACTGAATAGGCTAATCCTAAAACGATGTAGTATTTGTTTGGCGGGAATTGGAGCCAAAATTGGATTCTACTTTATTATAATAGAAGATGGCAGACAAGGAAAATTCTTCACTTTATGAATGAGTTAATACCTCCAATGGTCCTCCGAGTATTAGGGTATTATCCCCCCCCACCCCCCACCCAGATGCTTCTTCAAATCCTCCACCATCGCCTTCACGTCCAGTTTCCCGATCACTGTCACTAGATCATTTTCTGTATCCACTTTCACCACTTTTTTCTTAATCAAGCATACCGCATTCATGGAGTAAAAGGAAAAGTGGGGTATATGTATAGGAAAACTTTGTGCCCAAGAATCAGCAAAGAGAGTTACCCTGGAACAGGAAACAATAGAGGAAGGGTCATCCAAAGACTCCATCTTTGAGGAGAGAGAGAGGAGTTAATGGTATAATCCACAAGTGGTTCGCCAATCTTCAGAGTTGCCCGTTTTCTGAAACTCACGGCTTTCGCCATTGATGGCCAGAGGCTAAAGCTTCCTTCGTTGTTATTCTCGCCGAAGCAGAGTGGCCTCTTGAGGTGGCATTCTGTGGGTGGAGAGATCCGCAAAACTTGTGAGGAAGAAAAATAGGTGAAAGGACAACTTTGCCCTCAGACTTAACACCCCTTTGACAACAAACCTAACAGAGGACCATAGGTGGTAATTTTTTTAAACAAGTAGGACGTCTAGTAGCCGTTTTAAAGTCGGGGGACCATACCTGGTAATACCCTAATACTCGAAGGACCATTGGAGGTATTAACTCTTTCTCGTAGTAGAAATGACAGGTTTGCCCTCACACTTAACGTTCATTTAACACCAAACCTAACGGAGGACCACGAGTGATTTTTTTTTTGAACTCGGAGGACGTCTCATGGTCATTTTAAACTCGGAGGACCACACCTGGTAATACCCTAATACTCGAAGGACCATTGGAGGTATTAACTCCTTTATGAATCGATGTTTATTGTCTTTGTTCACAATTAAAGTTGCACTATTTCAATTCAAGTACTTGCCTCCTATTTTTCAGGAATTATATTGGCCAGAATTAAATAAACATGACAATTACTTTTACAAATGACTTATACTACATAATTTTCACAATTTTCGGTGCCAAATGATAAATTCTGAAACACTAATTTAAAAATATATATTATACATTAATCTATTCGTACAATATGTGTGTGATAACTAGTTTATCATATACGAGTAAATATTTATATATTCCTAATATCATTCCTTCTATAATTTTATTCACACTCTCAATTTTTATTATGTAAATCAAGTAAGAGTTTTAATATCAAAATTCTTTTGCGTAATTTAAGAAAAACATTGATATAAAAATTAAATTTTTTGGAGTTGAATTTATGATCACAAGATCAAGAACCCTATGCTCTACTGACCTAGCTAGTTGGGATGGATGGTAGAACTTGCTCTCAAAGATCTTCTGCTAATCTTAGTCTTAGTTTTGTTTTGCTTTTGATCTGCCCTTGGTGATCTAAAACGGATCATCCATTGTGATGCCAAGGGGATACCCTCTGCTAGAGGGGACTAGGTCTTGTTTTTTGCTTTTTGATCCTGAGGTTCGGCCCTTCCTATGTTCGAAAAAAAAGATCTACTGCTAATAATGTTCCATTATTATAAGATCTTCCATACTAAATAATTCATCGGCTAGATATAAGAAGAAAATAATGATGGTTGCGCAATAGGTTTCAACATAAAAAGGGATTATAATTTGAAATTTCTATTTTAACCTTATATTATTACATTGTTTTTAAGTTTTCCGTTAACTGCAGACAGAATATTAACGCTAGAGACCAAACTTGCCACTTTGCTCATAATTGAGGGACTAAACTCAGATATTGCCATAACTTAGGGACTGAGTCAGAACTTAGTTATAACTCAGGGACTAAAGATGCAATTTTCCCATTTAAATATTCATAGTTCAATATATTACAAATTATTAAATATTTGAAACGTGCTTATAATATATAGATACAATTATTAAAATTGATAAGATATAGAATTTTAATATTCATGGTTCAATCTATTACAAATTATTAGATGTAAAATAATAATCTTTAACTTTTTTAAAACAAATATTTGCAAATATTATATGTTTTTAGAAAGAAGTAACCATACATGTTTTCAAATTGAAACTCTATTCCAAGAGTCAAGAGCACCCCTACTGATGCTCAATCTCATAACATCTCATATAGGAGAGGCCACTACATGCCATCTGAGAATAATGTGTTTTACACCCCATACATAATATTTAAATATAACTCATTGCAATAACATGCTACAAACTCTGAAACAAACCCGACCTAATCCAACCCAACTAATTCAAACCCAACAACTCATCCTATAAATGTTACCATTCACCCGTTTTAAACCCTAAATACCCGTTCTTCATTATTCCATAACTCTACCTCCCGCCTCATTCGATCCTCCTTCAGAGAAAACCTAATTAAGAAATAACCATACTTGAATTGTCTTTAATTTATTTATTTCGTAAATACTACGATTGTCTCAACCTCATTGAGGCTTTCTTCACGTTCTTCATTGCAAAAATATAAATAACAACCGAGTTCTTAAAATTTGATAATTACAAAGAATATAATAAAATATATTAAACTTAAATTAGTACTAAAAAAATTAATTACAGATTAAAAAATATATAAATTGGGCCATATGATATATAATGACTTAATCGTCCAAAATTTAAAAAGATGATCCCAACGAAATAAAACATTGTTCGTTGGGATCATCTTTTGCTGCTGAGAATCGAACCTGATTTTTTTTAAATGAAACGCACGTTTTTAATCAAAACGACGTCGTTTTTACAACCGTGTGCACCATACATGGTGCACACGGTTGCACAGCATAATTTGTGCTTGTCAATAGTTATGCGCTCGTCAATAGTTATACATGGTGCACACGGTTGCCCAGCATTATTATTGAAGCCTAAAAGGGCCAGGCCAGTTGGCCCAGCCACATGGCCCACGGCTTGCATCAATCTGCTTCACTTTCTGGCCCAAATAGGCCAATAAATCTGCATGTAATCCATAGGCCCATCCTTAGCAAAAAGGCAAATAATTGGTCCACACAGTGTTTTGTGAACCACAACGAAAAGTACATTTTTAATATATTAAATATACATTATACAAAATATGTCCACACAATAATGATTGTCGCTCATGTATGATAAATAGTGGGCTTCATTCTTGAGTTGGAATAAAGGAAATGATATGGGCCGTTGTAGCCCATAGTGGGCCTGTGTTGATGCTGATTTGTACTACAATCATAATGTACATTGTATTCAGGAAAGGTATATTATTTTTGTATTGAGTGTACATTATATTGTATAATATACATTTAATATATTAATTAAAAATTTACTTTTCGTTGTGGTTCACAAAACACTGTGTGGACGAATGATTCACACAATAATTTGCTGTGAGGGGCCTTGTCAATCGTTATGTTGTGCAACCGTGTGCACCATGCAGGTTGCAAAACGACGCAATTTTATTTATAAAAAAAAAATTCAGTTTAGATTGTCGTTAACGGTGTTAGGTGGTTTTCTTTCGTATTCAAACAGTAGGATATATCCATAACTTCATAACTATATATCAAGAATTACATAACTGTATATCCAGAATTACATAACTATATATTCATAATTCTATAATTATATATTCATAATTTGACAAAAGTACATTCAGAAATTAATAACTACACATTCATAATTGACCTTATCAATTATGAATATATAGTTCATTCATTCTGGATATATAGTTAATTCATTCTGGATATATAGTTCATTTCATTCTGGATATATAGTTCTTTAATTTTGAATATATAGTTCATTAATTCTTAATATATAATTCAAATTATGCACATCATAACGCTATTAACGGCAACCGATTTTTTTTTTTTTTTTTTTTAAAGTCGAATGCATAATTTTTAATCAAAACGACGTCGTTTTGCAACCGTGTGCACCACGACATAATTTGCGGGGCCTTGTATTGAAGGCCGAATGGCCTGTGGTCGTTTAAGCCCAGCTGGGCGTGGAATGTTTGGAGTATGGGCTCATCGCTCATGGCAAATTATTGGGTGGACCATGGTCCACACATTGTTATGTCAATAGTTATGCTGTGCAACTGAATGCACCATGTGCATGGTGCATACGATGCAAAACGACGTCGTTTTGACTAAAAACGCGCGTCCCATTTTAAAAAAAAAAATTCAGGTTCGATTCTCGGCAATAGCACTATTGTGGATATATAGTAATGAATTTCTGGATATATAGTTATGAATTTGTGGATATATAGTTATGAATTTATGGATATTTAGTTCATTCATTGTAGATATTTACTTCATTCATTCAGTGTGGATATATAGTTATGAATTTCTGGATATATAGTTATGAATTTGTGGATATATAGTTATGAATTTATGGATATTTAGTTCATTCATTGTAGATATTTACTTCATTCATTCACTGTGGATTTAGTTCATTCATTGTGGATTTTTACTTCATTTATTCACTGTGGATATATAGTTATGAATTTATGGATATATAGTTATGAATTTATGGATATATAAAAATGCTATTGCCGGGAATTGAACCTGATTTCTTCTTTAAGTGGGATGCGCGTTTTTTTAACCAAAACGACGTCGTTTTGCATCGAATGCACCATGCGCATGGTGCATTCGGTTGCACAGCACAATTTGCGTTGTTATGTGGACCACAACAAAAAACATATTTTTAATATACTAAATGTACATTATTTTTGTACTGAATGTACATTATACAATATAATGTACACTCAGTACAAAA